ATTTATAAAATTTAATTTAAAGTTAATATATAAGGGAAGAAACATCACAGCTTCAAAGTTTATAAGTAATTCTATATATTTTTGCTATACATATTAGCTAATTTGCAGAATACCCTAAAATTTTTGACGCTTCCAAATTTGATTAAATAGTGCGTCACTCATTTGACAAAAAGATTAACCAATTAGATTACTGTTTTAGATTGATACATATTTGAAATTCTTTTTATTACTAAAAACTGCTGAAGTCTCTTACATTTCACCAAAGTTGAAACCTATAATAGACTCTATAGTATATAGCCAAAAGCTTACAATATACTATATAATATAAATACACACTTTGTATTTATAACAGGCCAGCTAGATTTTTGAGAACCACATTTAATTGAATGATTTGCACCTGGGTATAGATCTTGCATACATAGTTTACAGTAGTATTAGTGCTTTTTTTTTTTTCGAACTTCAGGTATATATATTTAACTATGTTATATTTAATAATTACAAGTTAAATGACAGAAAGGAAAGCTCTGTAAATTGTTTAACTAACATTTGTTTTATCGGATTCCGCCCTTGTAGAATTGATCCTGCATTGATACATATGACTAAATACAGCTTATATACAATAACACATACTACTTGGTCATTATTAGAGTTGTTAATGGAGTGCTCTAGTTAATAATAAAACATATAACCCACTTTGGAGCACTCCAAAAGTGGATTATATGTTTTATTATAGTCTGTAGTACTCCATTAACAACCCTAGTCATTATACGGATTTAATAACAGAAAAATAACGATGAACATTAACCATGTAAAATCAGATTCTTCAGAGAGCTGAATTTGACAAGATGAAAAGTTGTAAATCAATTTACAAGTTTTTACTTTTCGTAACTTATATTATATATAAGGCATTATTATTTAAGATGTTCTACTTTTTTTAAAAACTATTAGAAGCCCGATCCACTAGTTTGTAACTTAAAATTTGGAGTTTTTTACTTTGGGTATGAAAACTTTTATACTTATAATTGTTTTTCACTTATTGTGTATATATTTGATATAATTATTAGATTTAACATATTACTTTTATTCAACTAACCTATCTAATCACTAGAGTCGCTATGTTTGTATCATTTTGAAAAATGTTGGCTAGTTAAGACACATCGGTCTCCTATTTATCGTTCAATAAAAGGAGTATTGATGAATACATGGATCTTGATGATAGGACGTCACCATATGAAATATTGCTACAAAGTCGACGCTGCAAAATTCAACAGAATCAGTATTTTGTAGATATCTTGGAGTGGTTCTATATGTCAATATTCAACAGAATCAGTATTTTGTAGATATTTTGGAGTGGTTTTATATGTCAATATTCAACAAAATCAGTATTTTGTAGATATCTTGGAGTGGTTTTATATATCAATATTCAAAAGCCCGGAATATATTGCGTAAATTATTGAAGTTTATATATTGATATATATTTTTGTTGTATACTGTAGTCAAATATATATTCGTAAGCTCCCATTGGTAATATCACGTTGTGGAATTCAAGATTTCCTTGAAGAATTAGTCTATCATTGCACTATTACTAGGAGTTCTATCATTAAACTTCAAAAGTTTCAATGTTTTTAAAATGATACGAATTCGTTGAATGTGGTAAGTTTAGTTGTTTTTTTGACCTGTTATTATATCTTAATACTTATAAACTATACAACCTTATTTAGATGTTGATTCGCCTGATTTTAAATAAGAGTATATATCACTGATTAGAGTCAAGATATTATCTGAAATGTAGGATTGCAATTTAAATCTTTTGTTAAATAATGATATTATTACATAGTTTGGTTTGGGAATTTGGATTTCTATATTTAAGATAATAACCAGAATAATAAAGATATATCTTATTTTCAGTCAATAGTATTAAACTCAAAAATGATCATAATTTCTAAAAGTAATTTAGCGACTAAGTAGGAGATGTTAAATAAATTTATATGTTAGATCTAATAATTGTACAGTCAGACCTCCTTAAGTGTACAGATTAAGTAAATTCTCTCTAAATATACGGTATAGTCTGATCCCAGCTTATAAGAGCCCTATATAATTTTCTCTCTATAAATGCACACCCTCTTTAAGTATACTCTTTCATTTTTTTTCTTATGGTCCCAAGAGGATGCACTTAGAGAGGTCTGACTGTATTAGAACATATACAGTAAATAAAAAATAATCATAAAAAGTGAAATTTTTTTAAATTCAAAATAGATTTCGAATTACTGAATTTTCATACTGAATTCTGTCTTAATGAATTAGAACAAATGATAGTATATATTTGTAATACAACAAATTGAAAAAAATTATCGCCTCATATGACAAAAATAGAATATGCATGCTTTGGCTCAGAGCATATCGATATCCAGTTTTTTATCTGTACCCGAACTTTAAAGGTGATACATATACAAATTAGAATTAAACTATTTCAAGATAATTAGACGTGTTTTATATATACATTTCTTTTCTGATATACGTACCTATGTATGTTTAAATTTTTTAAATGACTGAAATTCATAAATATCCCATAAACCAAATATTTGCTATAAAGAAAAAAAAAAGAAGCTTTTATTATACAATAATTAAAGAAGGAATTTATCCATCTAGACATATAAAATACACACTGGATAAACATTATAAAATTCCTGATAAGTATGAAATTGAAACTACTTGGGGTAGAGATAAAAATCGACAAACTGTAAAATGCACAATTGACTATATAGATAAGATACCTACATTTTGTGTATATTTTGGTAAAAATTTTGAAGACCAAGTAATATCAAAAAAAAGTACGAGTGAGGCAGCAACTTTATTTCATAATGCAAGTAAAAATTATAATAAATATATGTATTTTTTTCATATTATTATTTAATGTTAATTTATATTATTTTAATTTAGAAAACTACTACTTTGAAATCAACACAAACTTCTGGTGTTCTCTTATTCGGATTACAATTGGATTGTGTCAAAAAAAATCGTGAAAAAAAAAAACCATGGCAACTTGAAATTAGTTAATGAAGCAAGTTTATCAGCACTTACTAAGCGTGCTCGAAAGTTTGCAACACAAATTTATGATGATTTTCAAACCCATAATAAAGAATATTACAACAAATTAGATAAATTTATTTTAGAGTCATTTCAATATTTGGTTGATACAAAATTTTATTTAGTTGAATTTAATAATCACAATAAGGAAAATCAACAACAATATATAATGTCCTTTGTACAAACAATAGATCAAAATTTAATATTTCGTGAGGCTTATAGAAGTTTAGCAGCATTAGAACATGATTTATCGCAAGAATATATTATATATAATACAAAGGTTCAAATTGATAATGAAATGCAAAACCTAATTCCAATTAAGTTGGTTGATATAAAAACAAAATTTGGAGCTGATTTAAACGAACAATCTGATATAAATGATCCTGAAATAATAGAACAAGTAATTAGCGCAATTAGGAAAGGCGGGTATCGCAGCATTAAAGATATTTTAAATTACATAGTTTCCTTTTTAGTTAATCGAAATGTTCTAAATCCAAAAGATCCATGTATTAATATTCGGATATCAGGAGATGGAAGGAATGTTGGACGGAAAGTCCAGCATGTAATGGTAACCTGCGCAATTCTTGATGATCGAAAGAACTTTTATCTTCCTGATTATCATTATGTTGTAGTATTATATCCTGGAAGTGAAGATTATAATTCTTTGAAAAATGCAATGACACTATTTTTGGAAGAGTTACGTGAATTAAAATAATTGGGCATAAAAATTAATAATATTACTTGGAATATTAATTTTTATTTCTTTGCCAATTAGAAATTTCTATGTATTTGTTTGAGGTTTAATGGCGCAAATTCATATTATTATTGTCTTTGGTGCAATACAAATAAGGATGATAGAGAAATTTAAATAAACAGTGAATAATTAACAAAACGATGGATCAATTGAATACTGATTTTACAGTTTATAATGGTCATAAAAAACTACCACTTTTCAATATGATTCCATTAGACCATTGGCTAATTGATGAGCTTCATGTTATGTTGAGGATAACTGACCGTCTTTGGAGTTTAGTCTTGAATGAATTAAAAGATGAAGGACTTTTTGATGACCTTGCTTGTGAGGTGATTGTAGAGAAAATGAACCATATTTCAGTCTGATTTCAATTTTAGAAAGAACAAGGATTAGAAAGCTGGAGCTATACGTCGTTGATAGGAGAGGATAAAGTCAAAGTTTTAAAAAACTTTAACCTTAATTTACTTTTTACACCTTCATATACAACTAAAATCAGGAATTTATAGAATAAATTTTCACAGCTTTATAATAACTTACGAGATAATACAACAGATCCGAATACTTTTAAAAATGATGCAAAAGAATGGTTAACTTTATTTTTAACACCTTCTATCAGTAATTGGGAAGCGGATGAAGAGGTAGTTTCAGGCCTTTATTTACCAAGCGATATTACACCTTATATACATGTTCTGGTCTATCATGTAGCTGAAATAATGCAAATTCACAAGAATTGGGGAATAAAATCTTTCTTATGTAGTTCCGTTGAAAAAAGAATCACTTACAAGTATCTTATTTCTTCCGTAAAACCTTAAAAGATGGGGAAAAAATAGAGATAAAACTTCGGTAATTAAAGAACTTCTTAATTATGAAAATAGATATTTGTATTTTTTATATAATAATATTCCTGATTCATTTTCTAAACGTCAAAAGATTTGTATTCAATAGATAGCAATACAAAATAAAGTTTACTTGCATTTAATACAATATACTTTTACATATTTATTAAATTTTACATATATTAAATTATCCAATTCTTTTAAATAAACTATTCTTTTATTAAACGTCTAGCTAGCTTTTTCTATACTAACTCATAATCTAGTTGCAAAATATCTTTCAAAATTTTAATCTCTTGTGTACTTTTATTTCAAATATATAATATTTAATAACCTTGAATAGAGATATACCTTGCAAAAATAATGATATCACATTTACGAAAATTGTATCATATGACTTCATATCTCACAAAGTAATTTTTAACTAAGAAAATCCTAGCAGTTAATGATTCATCAATATAAAAAATTACAGTATTTGAGTTATTACTAAAATCTATAATTCCTAAACTCAAAATTTAGTCTTGAACAAGATCACCTTGCACTTCACACAAAGTCATGTGATTTGTGGAATATATGCTAGTTTTACTTCACACAAGATATATCTCTAATCTTGAACTTCATCTAATCTTTTTTATAACTGAGTAATTCTGTTAATTCTGCTCATGATAGTAGTAAAGTAGACCTGGAGTTTCATAGAGTCCTATATATTTTTTATAAAATATATACTAATCTAAAAATTAAACAATATAAATATAAGTCAATCATCAGTTCTATTAAAACTACAAGACCAAATCTCAACTTCTTAATTTCATAATTCTAATCATCTGTAATTATCATACAAAGTAGTAATTATAGTATATTAGAGTTATTACCAAAATCTATAATTCACTGAACTCAAAATTTGATCTCACCTTGCATTTCACACAAAGTTATATGATTTGTAAAATATATGCTAGTTTTACCTCACACAAGGTATATTTCTAACTTTGAACTTTATCTAATCCTTTTATAACTGAACAATTCTATTAATTCTGCTTGTGAAGCGAGGATACTAGCATTTTTATGCTAGTAAAGTAGACTAGAATCTTATAGATTCCCATATATTTTTTTTTGAAAATATATACTGGTCTAAAAATTAAACAATATAAATATAAATTAATAATCAATTTCATCAAAATCACAAGACCAAATCTGACTCCTTTATTTTATAATTTCTAATAATTCATAATTCTGATGAACACTCCAAATTAGCATTAATATGCAATTCCACCAACCTGTTGATCCCTGTGCCTTGAGCGTATTCACTCAAATTAAAGTTTATATACCCAAAAAAGAGTATATACGTTCAATTCAAAGCGAATTCACTCAAATTTAAGTATAAATACCTATAAGATTAAAATGTATATAGACACTTTGAATTCAATAAAGAAAGTTCTAAGTTCTTGTCCACTATCAATTACCAATAAATAATAAACAGTGAATACTTATATCTAAATGTCTACTGTGAATTGTCTTTTAATTTGACTTGTTGAAACTCAATTCGACAGATTGAATTGACTTGTAATTTTGATTTGACTTATTAAGACTCTGATTCTAGAATGTTCATGAAATTAAATATTGTTATTCATATTGGTTACTTGTGGAAATTGTGGTAGAGAACGAGACTCACAATTGATTACAAGACTCTGTTTATTCATCCAGCAAGACTACTACTTGCAGGTTCTACAAACTGCCCTTAAACAATCGTCTAAACTTATCTACACCAATGAAGTTAAATTAACCTATTGTCTATATCATTCAACAAGCTCTCTTACTAATAGTTATACTATATTCTTCCCTTCATTCAGGTCTATTATAGTATCCACCCTCTTTGCACATCCATTCATGCCTTATCAGATATACTATTCTTCATATTTCTTATAATTTTTACTGCTACTAATGTCTTTACCTGATTTGATAGTTTATCATTCATCAGTTTCATAATTTGATGAAAAACTGTAATTCTTGAACTTTGGATTTAACACTTCCAGAAAATAGCTTATCAGTCCTTAACAATACGTCTGATGTTAATAAGTAATACTTATACCATATATGAAATTCTAATGTGATAATATCAAAAAATATAAAGACAAGAGAGCGATGTTTCAATTATATAATATTATAGATAAGTTAATATCCTGTAAATGCGAATTTTTTAAAAATTGTTTTTGGCTTTGTGCACTTATCTTGTCCTGTTATTCCTATATCTTGGCAAGTGTTCTTTCATAATTTAACACCTGACTTTCAGGTAAGTTGACATCTCATTGTCATGGTATTTTATCATCACCTGTCTATTACCTTATACTTTTGTTTATTTAGACTTATGTTAGCATTTATTATATTTATGAAAATACAATATTTAAAACTATAGCACACATAATTTTTAAGATCTAACTTTATTTTGATGCCAAATTTTAAAATTATATATATCTACTAGTATTCTTCATCTTTTTGATTTGGAAAATAAAGGCATGTCTTGTTTGATTTTCTTAACACCAATCCAAGCTTAAATATTTTATCATTAAATTCTATCTCTAGAATTCAGTGTTAGCTATAGCTCATTGTGACTTATTGGCTAATCATAGGTTATGACCTTATGATATTTTATAAAATTTACTATTATTTTATATTTACCTTGGTTGTAAAAATTAGATATAACCTAAAATGACCAATGCTGTAGAATTGATGGTAATTAATAGATGCTTGGTGTTATCTTTTCAATTTACATTCTATTTTTATAGCAATAACTAAGGTTATATGTTTCAATAACATGTGGATTTATAACTAATAAATATTTGAAATTTATAAATTTTAATGCTAATTTTATTTTAGTAATGATATCCAGATTTTATTGATACATATTATTTCTGAACAATTGAGCACTGCAGAGAAAAAATATAGAAGTGAATATTTTGAACAATGAGTTACTTCTGAAAAATATAATTTTTAACAGAATGTTATCTAGATATTATATAATACTAATTGTCAATACCAATATGCAGTGTATAAAATCTAAATTACAAAATATATGCACAAGTTAAATTTTTTGATTTTATACATTGCTAATACATAATATTATAATTTTTAAAGAGCTAAATGAAAATACTTACTTCCAGATTTTTTCTGCAATATCCAATTAGTAGATCTTTCTATTTATTCTTTTCAAGTTTGTAAAATAATATATTCTAATAATTAATGAATCTCTTATATTTATCTTTTTTATAACCAATTTTACTCCTTTATCAAGTTCAATGCATATATTCTATATATTTTAAAGTTTCTTTCTTGTTAACAGACTATCTCTTATACTGATTTTATCACTTATTAGTTCTTCACACTCATTTTAATTAATATTTTAAAATTATTATAAAATATGTTTTCATTCGTATAAAAATTTTAATTATACTGTATAAAAATTATGAAATAATTCTAATTTTAATAAAATTAAAATTTATAATATCTAATATTCAAACATCAATTGAAAGTAAAAAATAATAAATGAAGTATTTTTACTATTAGTAATTATACTTCTTAATTTTGAAAATATTTCTTAGCCATAAAAAAGTGAATATATATAAATCCTGCCTGACAAATATTTTTTTTACCATTGCATTCTTTTTTTTCACACATTCAATCATCACATCTCTACAAGGATAATTTGGTTTTCAAACTTGCTTTTTTAAATTCTTAATTGTAATATTTGTTGCTTTTTCTTGAGTACGTTGAATTAATGGATGCTGTTCTTGAGATAAATTATATGGTGATACTAATTGAACATAGGTTTTTTGATTTTGGGAATGATCTTTAATTCCCCAATTAGTATTATTAAGAATTTTGGACAATTCTTGATATCCAGTAGATTCACAAAAAATGCATTTAGAAACTTCAGTTCATTTGTTATAACAATGAATATAATCTTTGAAAATAACTTGAAATATACTTTCTGGACAAGTAAGAGAAACAGCTTGAAGTCCAGTATTTTTTGAATTCTTACCAAGTTGTTGATGAATAAAATATACAATATTATTTTTGATCTTAGTAACAATTAAATCTGGTATTTTTTTCTTGTTCTTTTGATAGTTCATTTAATTTACAAATAGTATTATTATGTCTTGAAAGTCCATGATTAGTTTTAAATTCTTTTTGACAAAGTAAACATTTAATTTTGCAAATCAAAGTTGAATTTTCCAAATTATATTGATTTATCTAAATATGTAATAAAAAGTTAATAAAAAAGTATTTATTATGTTTTTATATAACTATTATTAACAAGTTAAATTTTCTAAAAATTTTAATTAGCCTACCTCTAAAAAGTGATGGGTTTTTAGAATGAGTGATGGGTTTGATTCAATATCTCTTAAATTTTTTTGTTTGTTTAAAGTATATCAATCATTTAACTAATTAATTAACCAATTAAATTTGACTAATTAATAATTTAGGGGTACAAAATTATAAATTTGGGGTTTTAAAAAAGGTCCAATTCCACAAATTGGTGCATATGATAAAACATATATTAAATAAAAAATTATATATATTTTTAGTTACTAAAATTATGAATACATTTTACAAACTCAATTTCAAAAGTTTGTTAATATATTTACTGCATTACAGTATTTCAACACTTCATATGTCTTTGCTATATTAATTTGCTAAATTAATTTACTACCAACTATATTTAAAACAAATTTTTTTTCAAACTTTTAACAAAAATTTCTCAATAATTAATTAATCAAATTTAATGAAACTTTTTTATTTTAATTCTACAAATTTGTACAGTCATTCTCCCATAAAATCACACAGTTGGGCACATAGTAAATTTTTTTTTGAAATGTGCTTATATAGGAGTTGTGCTTATATAAAGGTCTTTTTTCTATAAATTAAATTATAGTTTGGTTTAAACATAAATATAATTACATAGATGTGATTATATAGAAGATGACTATAGGGAGGGATGACTGTATAATTAAAATAAAAAAATTTATTAAAATTGAATAAGAAGTTATCGAAAAATCTTCACTAAAGTTTTTTTTATAAAAAACTATATTATAATTCTAAGTATTTAATCAATAAAGAAAAACAGAAATATATAGTATAATATAGTAATATTCTTATTCAATACTAGATTTTTTATATAAAATATATAAAACTTCAATAATTAATTATTATTTTTTATATTTCAATCTTATATATAAATAATAAATATTTAGAATTAATTGAATCAAAAAACTCTTTCTGATGATCCTTTGGACAACAACAACAAAAAACTGAACTACAGAAAAATGATATAGGAACATCTAAAACAGATACTTCTCAGTTTTACCTTAGAGCAGTGTTGTTATAAGACAGTTGTGAACAGTAAGTTTGGACACTTTGGACAATTTTGAATAATTAAATAAATTAAAATTACTCAAAATTTTATTAAGATAACCTATATTAATTTCTAAATAAAATATATTTAGTATATAAAAAAATATATAATTATATATTTTTAACCTAATTTATTAATTATTGTCGCAAATTAAAATGAAATCTGATCAAAATGAAACTGGGGACCTCTCATACCCACTCTTAGAGCCTATAAAACCCACATATACTCATTTATTAATAAACCTAACCCTAAACCCTACCCCTAATGCTAAAAAGAACCCCAAAAAATGTCTCCCAAAAAATTTTAAATTTTCTTAAAAAACAGAAAAATTTCGTTTTGATCAGATTTCGTTTTAATCTGTGACAATTATTAAAGCTTAGATATGCTCTAGTCACTTGTAGATACTTGGATACTTGGACATTGGACAGTACCAAAAAAGCCTTTGGATAGTCAAAATGTACAACACTGCCTTAGAGTAAAGCAGTTGTTGATGAAGTTTAAAAATGTAAAACACTGAGGAACAGGTGTTTTTTGGACAGTTTTATTTGAGGTTAAACTTTGCTATTTCTGGTAGACTCTCTAGGTTATTCAACATCCAAATCAGAAAGATATTCTGAAAACTGTTTTTATCTTTATGTAGATTATTGTTGATGAAGTTCAAGAGACATAATACACTGAAGAGCAGGCATAACTTGGATGGTTTTTCTTGGATTCAAGTTTTTTTGCTAATTTGTCAAATGAACTTCCTAAGTTATTCAGCATATAAACTAGAAGGTTTATTCTAGAAACAAGTAGTAGTCAAAAAACTCTTGCTAACATAGTAGAAGCTTGAAGAATTGCCTATATAACTATAAAACTTACAGAAGAATCTCAAATACTCTTGTTGTTTTTTCATTTTTTTTGATAAAAATTTGTAAAAAAGTGGGTGATTTAGCTTACTTCTTTCAAAAAATTGATATATTGTTTACTTACCAAATCAGTCGCATTGTTTACTTTTTGATCTGTCACAACAAATATGTAAATATATATAGAATTAGAAATGTAAATTATATGCCTCAAATATAACAACTTAGACAAACAATAACTAGAGACCTCCAGTGTAAATTTCTGACCTTTCTGACTTCTTTATAGTGCCAATATAGAAGAAGCTATTTTTTTATCTTGTCACAGAGTTTTTTTCTTACCTTAGATATGCTATATATATAAATTAGAATAAAGACTAGTTTAAATAGTAGTATATAATTTTTATAAAGCCTGATATAGGTTTATAATTGTAACTATTTGGTGTAGATAAAAAATCTCGTATTTAACATAGTTTTTTTTCATTTTCTTTTTTTTTTCTTTTTTTCTTATTTGTATTTTTTTTAATGTTATTCCCTATATCTCTGTGTTGTTTTAAAATTTTTTTCTTTTCGTTTACTTCTTTATGAGAAAATGATATCAGATTAGTAGTATCTTATTGTAAGGTAGTGGTCAAACAAGCCCTCTGGTTAGGATATTATCTTAATTGATTGTATTTCACTGGTGCAACAAGTTATCTATGGGTGCTCAGGTAGTTTTTGGTTATGTTGCAGTAGCTATAGGATGTCAGAGCTATAGTTTTATTGTTTTAAATCTTCTATAAGATAATAATTTGAATAAACAAAGTCACTGGTGTGATCTTGCCTAAGTGAACAAAAAAAAATAAAAAATATTTAAAATTAGATTTTATTTTAATGCAATTTAGTTTTAAATTTTTCCTCTTTAAATCTAATAAATGACATTTATATAAATATATTTAATATAAAAAACATACTGTATATCTTTTAGAAAAAAGCACCAACTGGGTTATAAGAAACAACTTTATTTATATATATAGTCTTATACTTAATTGATATCAATTATTATAAAAATAAAAAAAAAATTTATAACAATAATTGACAAGATTAACTAATCAAACTGATATATAATAAAAGAGTATTGTAATAATTTAATATAGTTTTGCTAATTATTAATATAAAATGTATGAGTTTTGTTAATTTGTTAATAACAAAATAATTTTATCAAACATCTATAGAATACTGCATCTATAGACCTATATAATATATATTTAATGTATTCTTCTGAAAATAAGCACTTCTTTTTTGCTATAAGGTTGCTTATTTTTAGGTATAATCACATCTAATAATTTGAATGACTTGATATTTTTTTTTATTTCTATTATATAAGAGGTGCTTATTTTCAGTATATATTAATTGTGAAGGGTGCTTATTTCAGAGGTGCTTATTTTTAGAGGAATACAGTAATTCTTTTTTACAAATATTAAAAAGTTTATCAATTTTTAATATATGCCTAATGACCTTACTATATTTCAGATTTAAATATAACTATATCATATAGCTGTTTTAATAATTAATAATAACAATAGGATATAGTGACTTAGTGAAGTAGTCAAGTTGTCGCTTCAAGTAGCACATCCAGAGTTCAATTCTCACTAACAACAAAAATTGAATTCTTTTGTATAATGATAACTATTCAGAAGTTGAGATGTAGATATTGTAATAACAGTCAGACCAAATAGGTGCAAGAAATAATCACTTAATAAACAGCTTATTTCGCAAACCCTATTAGGTGTAGTAATACAAACTTGGAAGATCATGTGATATTTGTGTAATAGAGGAGTTATACAAAAAGATACAAGCTAATAAAAGGTAGTATAAACTTACGATAAATCTATATAATCTGTGTAAATCTGTTAGACTAGTTTTGAATAGAAACCTGCTTGGCAAGTCATAAGCAGAGTACTTTTGATAGTTCTGAAAAGTCTAAAAAGAGAACCAAAAAGCTGCAGATCTTGATGAGAACTGGATGTTTGGTGAGCACTATATCAACCAGGCCATCAGAATTGACTAGAAGAAAAGAGTATAGGTTGGTATCTGGGTTAAGCCAGTAGCAAGTAATGTAATCTGTGGACCAAACTGAGCTATTTGGATTGGAAGTTTGGTAAAACAGTAGAAGGGTTTCTGATTGGATGAGTACTAAAGCTGGAGTATGAGTAAACTCTATAAAGATAGAAGTAGATAACAGTAACAAAAATAAAAAGCTGCAAATACTTGTTTTCAGACTAGGCATAAGTTACTATAATTTAAGCCAGTCTAAATGTGGGTATAGAAGGCTCTAGCAGGTTTACCTTGAGGTCAAATGACTCCTTAAAATAGTTGAGACTGCTTTAAAGTCCTAAACTAACATGTAAAAATAAGGTGGTACTAAGTATCATCACTTGAATATAAAAGGTTGGTATATAGCCACAGAGGATTTAAATAGATAACCTCTAGTGGGATGCAAGTACAGCATCTAGTGTAAAACTTAGTGATAGGCAGACTACTTAAATAAGTGCTCAGAAAGCGCAGGTATAGCTAGTTGTACTTTATAATATATACAGCCATCAGATATGTTTGACGGTTAAAAATACTATTAATATTTAAATAAAGAGCAGCATAGCAAAGAGGTCACCTTAACATTAAAAAAAAAATTAATAATAACAATTTTTGTATATTTTATACTAATTTAACTAATAATTAAAGTATTTATTATTATCTAATATATAGATAATTAAATATATAGCATTGATAAAAATTTTAACTGACTAATTAAACTTTTCTGATTAGTTAATATTAATTATGATTAAACTGATCAATAATTAGCTATAATCATAACCAAACCTATTATTAATTAAGC